GCTCAGGAACTCTGAGATGCTTTGAAGGATGCCCTTGTTGGGACCTTGCTGCTTAGTGATAACATTCCGTGGGTCAGCATTGTCCCCACCTCCTTTCTGGCCAGACAATTCCATCCTGTCAGTGCTCCTCTGAAGGCTCAGAACAGGTAGAGATCCAGCGCAGCCAGCACATGCTGAGGCGCCGTGGTTCCAGAGCGTGGAGTTTTCACAGGTCCCTGTTTCCCTGCCCACCTTGAGCTCACCCCGCCACCTGGGTTTCCCCTCCACACCCTGCCCCGCCCTGCCTGCTCCCTCTACGGTGCCCCCCTCCTGCCCAGCCCCAGTGCCCTCATGCTCTCCCCCGACTTCCTGGCTGATGAGACCACCATGATGCCCCCTCACCGGGGACTCTCTCTCCGCCTTAGCTCTTCATCAACATCTCTGATGAGTTCTCAGGTCTGCGATGAGGCTACTCTCTCCCTGCCCCCCATGGAAAGGAGGCATCCTCCCCGCACCCTCGGCACGGGGGGCTGGGGGGGGAGGATAGGGGCAGAGAGGGGGTGCGGGAGGCAACCAATCTATGTGTCTGTCTGTCTCTCTTCCCCTCCCCTTGGCCACTGTGGCCCCTGCAAGCTCAGAAGGATGACATCCAGAGAGCAGGGGGAGTTGTGGGAGGCAACCAGTCTATGTGTCTGTCTGTCTCTCTTCCCCTCCCCCCATTCTCTCTAAAAATCGATGGAAAAAATATCCTCGGGGGATGATTAGCAAACAAACAAAAAACGAAAATGCAAAGCGAGCCCCCCTAAGAGAAGGACGCAGACTGCAAAGGGAAGAGCACGGACAGCTAGAGACAGCATCACTATTTGCTTTTCGTTTGGTTGGTTGGTTGCTTAATCCTCACCTGAGGATATTCTTTCCATATGTGTTCCTGGGAGGACACTGCACAGGCACTGAAAGGGAGCCCAGGCCGGCAGGAGGCTGATGGGCCGAGGGAAGCGAGGCGCCCACTGCATCCGTGCATCCGTGCCCGGCTGAGCCCTTCACTCCTGCCTTCCCCAGGGGGAGGGAGGAGAGGAGCAGTGCCCCGCCCTGGAAGTCCCTCATCTCTGGCTTTTTCCATTCAGTGCGGGTGAGGCCTGTATCTGCTGGCACTGCCCGCAAGTTACTGATGCTTTAGTTCCCCACCCCCCAGGACCAGCCAAGGCGAATGTCACCCACAGACATGCCCGTTTCCCCAGGAGCTGTGTGTGGAGCCCCATCAATGGACAGAGTGGGCCTTGATCGCAGAACCTCAGGGCGCAGGGGTGTCTGGGGGTGCTGAGAGAGGCCGGGGTTTCCTCTGCACCGGCACAGTGGAGGGAGCTGGACGGCAGAGGAATGCTCGGTTCGACCATGGAAGTCTGTGCCGAACAGCCTTGCCCCCAGGTGTCTCCCCGCTTCCACCATGGGCTCTGATGCTGGTGGGGCCGGTCCACGTCTTTTCTTACTTAGAGGAATCCATCCCCTAAGCTACAAAAATCAATGAAGTTCCCAGGAAACCCCCGCTTATCCCCAATGGCCGGCAAAAACTCCCGTGGTATCCATAACTCACACAGCTTTGATAACCCCAGGGTCACCGACCCCCAGGTCAGGCAGGCACTTTGGGGGAGAGTGCGTCAGGGCCACAGGGCCATGCCCGGAGGCCACAGAAGCACGTCCAGCTTGGGGCCAGCTGCCGGCCCCGTGCAGGGGCCTCCCAGCTCCCGGCAAAGGCAGGCCCAAGCGACGGGGTCAGCAGGAGGGCAGAGGAAGGGAGCAGCGCCCTGTGACCCCTTCCACCACATTTCCTGCTCAGCCTGGGACAGCTGAGGTTCCAGAAACGAGGGAGGCAGGGAGTTCAAAGACCTCCCGTTCAGAGAGGCCACAAGCCTGGGAACTGAAGCAGAGGCCAAAGCCCCGAGTGGCCAGGAGACAGCATGACCGGGTCAGAGAGCTGAACCTCAGTCGCTGCCACTCTCCCCCTACCTCCCCGCTAC